CATCACCATAGGTTCTTGCTCATATGTTATTTCATGAAATTCCTGTGTTGTCAGCCAATTCCTTCTGATACAGTGACTCTGTGTACTCCTTCCATCTTCTTTTGATACTTCCTGGATCATTCAATATTCTACCCAAACTATCTTTATGTATTGCCACCTGTGGCTTGAATTTGTTTTTCAACTCCTTCAGCTAAAGAAACACTGAGCAAGTCCAGCCCTTTTGATTTTCTGACTCTAGCTCTCTGCACATTTCATTATAGTATCTTGCTTTGTCATCCCGAGCTGCCTTTTGAAATTTTCTATTCAGCTCTTTGATATCTTGATTTCTTCCTTTAGCTTTGGCTTCTCGGTGCTCTAATGCAATACTCAGAGTCTTATCTGGCATCCATCTTGGTCTTTTCTTCTTCTTCAGCCTTTGTAATGATCTTTTTCTTTCTTCATGGATGATTTTCTTGATATCCTCCCAGAGCTCATTTGGTCTACGCTCATTGGTCCTCAAGGCCTCAAACCTGTTCCTGAGATGGTTTTGAAATTCGAGTGGGACAGACTTAAGGTCAAATCTTGGTTCCCATGGACTTAATTTTCCTCAACTTCAGCTTAAATTTGCATATGAGTAATTGGTGGTCTGTCCCACAATTAGCACCTGGCCTGGTTTTCATTGCTGATATTGAGCTTCTCCACCGACTCTTTCCACAAATGTAATCGATTTGATTCCTATGCATACCATAAGGTGAAATTCATGTGTATAGCCTGCATTTATGTTTCTTATAAAAGGTATTTGCAATGAATAAATCATTGAATGTGCAGAACTCTATCATTCTATATCCAGCCTCATTTCTCTCACCAAGCCCATGTTTTCCAGCTACTGATACTTCTTCCTTTTTCCCAATTGTTTGTATTCTAGTCACCCATTATTATTAATGCATCTTGATTGCATGTTTGATTAATTTCTGACTGCAAAAGTTGGTAAAAATCTTCTATGTCCTCTTCTTTGGTTCTAGTTGTTGGTGTACATATTTGAATGATAGTGGTATTCACTGAAATTCCTTGTATGCATTTGGATATTATCCTATCGCTCACCACATTGTATTTCAGGATAGATGACTTAGAATGACTTAAAAATAAAATACAGCATCAGGATGGATGGTGAAGTGTTCTAGATTGTTCACAGTTTTAGTCTGCTTGACCCCACAGTCAATACTCTTGGCACCAGCACCCAGGAAATGAAAAGACGTATTGTGTTCGGAAAGTCTGCTTTTAGGAATCTCTCCAAAGTACTGAAGAGCAATGGCGTCAGTCTGGAAACTAAGGTGCACCTGATACAGGCCATGGTCTTTGCAATCACTTGTTATGCATCAGAGAGCTAGACAATCACTAGGGAGGATAGAAGGATAATTCATGCCTTTCAGCTGTGGTTTCAGAGAAGAATCTTGAATATATTACGAATTGCTAAGAAAATGAACAGGTTCATCTTGGAGAGGGTTAAATAAAGCTGCTCCTTGGAGGCAAAGAATATGAAGCTTCATCTGACACACTTTGGACATATTGCAAGGAGGGACCAATCATTTGGAGAGTGACGTTATGCTTGGGAAGGTGGAGGGACAGTGCAGGAAAGGAAGACCCTCTATGAGGTGGATTGATTCAGTGACTGGGGTAATGGGGATGGTGTGTCAGAGACAGTGAGATTGGCACAGGATAGAGTGGGGTTTAGGGCTGTTGTACGTAAGGTCACTATGATTCACAGGTGACTCGACAACACATAACAACAACAACAACAACAACAACGTATACATCCAAAATTTTCAGAAGATAACCAAAGCAGAAACACTGTCAATCTATTTAATCAGTTTTGTTGTTACTGTTTAAATCAGTTTTGTTATTGTTAGATTCTATCTAGTCAATTAGGACTCATAGGAATCCAAAAACTCCCAACAGGTTAGAACCTTTCCCTGTTCTGCAACAGTCAAGATTTGTGTCATGCATAATCAAACCCATTGTTACAGTCACTATGCCAATCTATATTTATTTTTATTTAGAAAGTATTTATTAATGTGAAAGATGTTAGTGCTATGGAGTTTCAAAAATGTCATAAAATAAAAGCTTATGATTGATTTATTTGAACTCTGTATAAAACACTGTACACTTAGTATTTATTACTAAATCTAGCAAGCATAGTAACTCTTTTCAGTAGGTATCACTACTCTTCGTACTCTGCTTAGAGCACTACTATCCTTTTCAGCTTTGTTAGGCCAAATGCCCTAGCTAGCCTGGCCGAGGCCACGAAGGTAGCGCAGATCTGGGTAAGTGAAACAAACAGCAACAATAAACTGTTGCCATTAGGTCAATTCCAACTCCTGACTATCCAATGTTTATCAAAGTAGATCTGTACCCCTTAAGGTTTTTACAAGCTAATATTTTTGAAAATTGCACTGGGAAAATCTGCTGTCAAGGACCTCTCTAAAGTTCTAAAGAGTAAGGATGTTTAAGACTAAAGCATAGCTGATTCAAGTCATCATCATTACAGTTACTTGCTATGCATCTGAAAGTTGAACAATGGATAAGGATGACAGAAGAAGAATTGATGTTGTTGAGGCGTGGTGTTAGAGAAGAGCACTGAATATTCCATGGCCTGCCAAGGGAACAAACAAGTATGTTTTGTAGAGAGTACAGCCAGAGCGCTCCTTGGAGGTGAGAATGGTGAAGCTTCCTCTCATAAACTCTGGACATGTAAAAAAGAGAGGAAGACTCAACAGCATGATGACACAGTCACTATACCAATGACCTCAAGTATATCAGAGATGGTGAGAATGGCACAGGGTAGGACAAGGTTCAGACTTGCTCTTCACAGGGTCTATATGAGTTGAACACCACTCACCAGTACCTAATAACAACAACAATGACTTTTTTGGGTTTTTTTAGAGTTTCAACTTTTTCTTATGCAGCACTTCTTAATGAACTCAACACAAGCTTTTGGTAAGCATTATGGTTGTTGTTTACCGTAGAGTAGAAATTGTCCCATAGCTGACCTCCAGAAAGTTTTCAAGGGCAGTTAATCACATGGGAGGAGACTGTCTTGCTCTAGTGGAGCATCTGGTGGATTTGAACCAAGTGACTTTGGGATTGCACTGCAGCTGCTTACAACTAGGCCAGCAGAGCTCCCTAGTGTATTAAATGTCAGAATCATCCAGGAATGCCTAAGACTGATCAAATGAGAGTGGATTGAAGGACATTGGCTTACTTGATAGTTTAAACCATATAATATCTGTTAGCCAAAATTTGCTGACTAAATTGGAGCTTCCCAATTAAAACAAGCTTGGAAGGAGGAGTGGCATCCACTTCAGAAATGACTAGCTCTCAAAACTCTATGAACAGTCTTCAGGTCTTTTGTTCATAGGGTTGCAATGAGTCATCTATGACTTGAGGGCACTTAACAACAATAACAACAACAACAACAACAAATAACTATAGGAAGTATGGTTCACATGGATCTCACATCAAGAGCACAGTTTACAAGGTGACCACTTCTCCCTGGTTCATTTGAGCTAAGATGACATTCAAAGTGGCTTTCCCAAATCACCAATACAGTGAAAGCAAAATGCTTCTTTGAAAAGGAAGATTTCATTTCTCAAGAAACACAAATGTCTTTGCAAAGAGCAATTCACTCCTATTCTTAATCCCTAAATCATAGACATCTGCTATGAAGAATTTCTTGAGCCCTCAAATAAATCCCCCTGGTCCTGTATTCTTTATGGCATTCTCAAAAGTTAGCATTTGAATAAAACAACAATAACCATTTCTGCGCTCCATCTCCCGATTCCTTTCTGATGGCACATCTAGAATCCTAGGCAGATGAAAGGGATCCATAAGAAAGGGACGATGAGGGTAAGTGGCATGGAAAAATGTTTCAAAAGAATGATACATTTTTAAAGAAGAGAATGTATGTATTTATGAATCTTTATGAAATTATAAACTATATTGATTCAGAAATATTGTAAAGAAATCTTGGACTCCCTTGAAAAAAAATTTTTGCCCTTTCCCTGGCTCTACTCACACTTCTCTATTGCTTTATTTTTTTAGTTCTAGTCGGTTCAAATAAATGCAGTTTTAAAACCCAGTTCCATGGTTGAAGATTCTGAGGGAAGGGATTTAACAGTAGGCTATAAAAATCCCTTAATGTCTTATTTTTGCAGATTTGCAGAAAAGTACAGTAAACCGTCATTGCTCTTCTTTCCCCATCAATATCCCTTGACCTCCGTCATTGACGGTACACAGCAGAATGCGTCTTCATGAGTTTCTTTCTCACAGAACTGTTTCTCCAGCATTGTTGAGACACCTGCGCTCTGACAATCTCTGCAGAATCTCGCAGGCAAACTGATTTGCCGATTGTCCTCTAGAGGAAATTATCAAACATTTAAACGACAATTTTCAAGGAGTAAATTTAGGAGAGGTGCAGACAATTCTAATGGTTTCTTGTTGCCATCTAATCTACATTCTGCACAAGCATCTGGCATCACCCAAGCTCTCCCAGCTATGCTTAACGCTTGTCCATTTCCGGACTCCTTTAAGAATGTCGTTCAGGGTGTACTCACAGGCTATGCGGACAGAGGCCTTCCTGCTCTTGGAGGTGCCCAGGTGACTCCATGCCACACACTGACACCAGTAGTCCTCCGGCCCGTGGAAGTCCTCCACCTGCTGCCTGGTGACATTGATGAACACTTCCCGGACCTTCAAGCCTGATGCACACAGATAGGAGAAGTCAGAGGAGAACATGCCATTTCTCAAACAGAAAGTTAAGGTTAGCGAAACCTTTTCTTTTTAATTAAACAATTCTGTTTTTTAATCAAGGCAAGGTTTTAATTACTTTGACAATAATGTATTACTGCTAATTAAATCCCAACAGCTGAGTAGGCTGGAATGCACGAGTATAAAGTAATAGCAACCAATGTGATTTCAATACAATAGTTTTCACAGTACCTCGCCTTAGTGATTTTCCTTTATCTGTATGTGTAAAATGCGCTACGAGAAATGTAGCACCAAAGCTAATTAAGACAATCACCTGAATAACTGTACGAGGCTGTGATTCTAGGAGTTAAACGGACCACACTTCCAGATTATTCTAAACGTGCCTCTCTGGCATGGCAGTAAGAAAGGCTAGCCCCAGCAGTGTGGCTTAAGTAAAGGACCAACCAAAGCTTGGGCTTTAAATCTCAGAAAAACAGAAAATGTGATATAAAGTGAATGGAACAGTGGGAAATTAGATCAGTTGTACTAAGTCTTAAAGACATGAGAGGAGAGGCCAACAGTAGTTGTTATGTGCCATCAAGTCACCTGGCCAAGAGTATTAAAAAAATGTGTAATGAGGTGAGGAGAAAAGAGACTTTCCGATAAGAGGAATAAATCAGTGGGTTAAGAACTACAAAGCCATTGACTTTCTAATTATTTTTTTATTATTATTCTACATTCTCTTTTGAATAGTTATAAAATGTGTTTGTTGCTTCTCCCTGGGTGGTATATCATCTTTCCTATTTTTCACTAAACACTTTATAAGCCTATCTTTTTTGACAAAGGCAGTCCAAGCGCTTTCCTCCCATCATCAGCTTCTCCTCATCAGTGAAAACATAAGCGTATATGTTTTACATAACTTGCTCTCTCCATCATACACACAGAGAGGTGAGATATAAAAAAGAAGCATCATCGCTGAACCTCACTAGGTCCATATTATCATGGCAAGCATTAACTCATTACATTTCCATATCACAGAGATGGAGTGTCTACTATTGTATTCCCAGTTTGCAGGCGAGAGAACTATGACTGAGAAAGGCTGAGTCACTTGTCTACAGTCACACAGAGAAAACAGCCTAACCAGGTTTGATCTGTATTTGACTACAAGCTCTCCTCAATTAAATTCTGGACCCATTGTTTTAGACACTCATATTTGAGTATGGAAATTAGGCAAGAACATGCACATTCAAGGAAAACTCAAGTGCATGCCTATGCTCTTTCCTTAAAGCTAAGGAAGAAGAATCATTAGTGTAATTTAAAGTCAGTAAGGTATCACTGTAGAGAAAGTTGAACATGATTTTACCTTAGGTGATGGTGTGATATAAAAAAACAAAAAAGGAGATATAGGAGTAGTCAGGCTAGGGAAATATTTTCTTCTTACCCAATCAATAAATTTTATTCATACTAGTGATGAGGCACACAGCCACATAAATCACTGTGAACATTTTGAGCTGAGATATATGTCTTAAATTTGTGGAAGGGAGCTACATAATGACAAACATCTTGGTGACAATCAACAACTCATGTTTCTCCTTTCTGTGTAAGGCATAAAAATATTTCATTTTTCCCTGTCAAGGTGGTAAAAGTTCTGAAAGGAATCGTTGGCACTGCATTTAAAAAGCACAAAGCAAAACAAAAAACCCTCACCTTATTGTTGTCTAGGGGAAACAACTCAATGCTGACCCTCCAGTGGGTTTTTAGTGCTGTCAATCCCACAGAAGGAGATTGCACAACTTCCTCCTGCTGGGAGGAAATGACCCCCTACATGTGTTTATACTATTGTAATGTGATTGTTATTCTTGTCTCTTTGTTTTGATGTTGTTGTTGTTGTTATGTGCCGTCGAGTCCTTTGTGACTCATAGCGACCCTATGTACAACAGCCCTAAACCCTGCTCTATCCTGTGCCAATCGCATGGCCTCTGACACACCCATCCCGAGTACCCCAATCACTGAATCAATCCACCTCATAGAGGGTCTTCCCCTCCTGCGCTGTCCCTCCACCCTACCAAGCATGATGTCCCTCTCCAAAGACCTGTCTCTCCTTACAACATGGCCAAAGTATGTCAGATGAAGCCCCAGAATCCTTGCCTCCAAGGAGCAGCCTGGTTTAATCCTCTCTACGATGAATCTGTTTATTTTCTTGGCAGTCCAGGGTACATTCAATACTCTTCTCCAGCACCACAGCTCAAAGGCATCAATTCTCCTTCTGTCCTCCCTAGTCATTGTCCAACTCTCTGATGCATAACAAGCGATTGAAAAGACCATAGTCTGTATCAGGCGCACCGTTTTAAAATCTCGACTTAAAATAAGTATGCATAAGAGGATGAGGAAGAGAATAAAGAGGAAATGCTTTGCAGAATCAAGAGAAGAAATAGAGAAAGCATAAATAAAGTAAGCCCTCACCTCATGGAAATTTCACATACAGGGAGACTGAGCACCTGTGATCCACAAGATTCTCACAGCTGATTTTACTATTATTATTATTTAAATAGGTCAGCAGGCATTTCTTCCTGGTGTTTCCTTCCCCTATGCCTCCTTCCTACTCTTTCATAGCCTGAGAGCACTGCTGAAACCTGTTTTAGCATGTTGGGAACATACAAGACTCAAATGACAGACAGGTGATGACTTAAATTACCCAGTTCAGAAATCAAACTCTGGTCTCTCACAAAGAAGGTGAGAATTCTATCACTGAATCACCACTATCAGAAAAAAAGATTATCTCCTTTGGAAAGAACTGCTTATAAGGTATATATAATTTGGCATTATCTGCATGACAACAGTCCAGAATAAGAGGTGCATACAAAGTGGACTAGAGGAGGGAAGGGAAGAAATTATGCAACAATGAGTGATTTTTTTTTAAGTGAACTGGGTGAAGAGTTGGGGGGGCGGGGGAATGTTCAACAATGAATAAATGAAAATCCAACTTTTCTGTAAACTTTCATTAAAATCATAATGAAAAAGAAATAGTATCCTTCCTTAAATGAAAAGGACAGAAAGCAGGAGTGAAAATATGAGTGAAGAATCCATTTTGGGAACTGAAAAATCAAGTTTTATAGGTAAAAATAAGGAATAAGGCTTAGGAGAAGAGGACATGTTTTACATTTTTTTTGCCTTACCTTAAGAAAGAAGGGTGAAATGGAGGAGAGAATACAGAATTAGTACAACCAGATAAGAGTTGAAACAATGCTAACATAAGAGTTCCCTGTGACCAGACAGGGCACCCAATGAGGAAGCATAACACTTTTAGAAAACAAGATTTGGCCTAGGAAACACTAGATATACTTAAAAGTCAGACATATATACATTGGAAAATGGACTTTATGAGGAAGAATGTAGCATAGGGATTGGAGGAAGACTCATCTACAGCCAACGTTATGCAGATGATACAAATTTGCTTGCCAAAACTTTGGAGGACCTGATTCATTTGCTGCAGAGGGTCAAAGACTGTAGTCTTCAATATGGATTGAAGCTTAATGTCAAGAAGACAAAGATTCTCAGCACTTGGCTGATTAGCAGCACCATGTTAGATGGAGAAGAGATTGAGGTTGTTAACAATTTCAGTTTGGTCAGTTCCTCTATCACCAATCTTGGCGACAGTAGTCAGGAAATCAAAAAACAAATTGCATAGGGGAAGTCAGCTGTTAGGGATTTCTCCAAAGTGCTAAAGAATAATGATGTCAGTCTATGGACTAAGGTTCACCTGACCCAAGTCATTGTCTTTGCAATTACTTGCTATGTATCAGAGAACTGGACAATGAATAAGTCTGATAGAAGAACTGATGACTTTGAGTGGTCCCGGAAAAGTATTGAATATATATACCATGGACTACCAAGAGAACAAACAGGTCTGTAATGACAAGACTAAGACCAAGTTTTTCCTTGGAGGCAAAGATTTTGAAGCTTCATCTCATATACCTGGGCATGTGGCCAGGAGGGAGTAGTCTTTGGAGAAGAACATGCTTTGGAAAAGAACAGTGCAGGAGAGGAAGATCCTGGATGATAGGGATTGACACAGTAACTGGGAGAAGGTGTGTCAGAGTCAGTGAAATTGGCTCAGGTTGTGGCAGGGTTCAGAGCTATTGTACATACGATTGCTATGAGTTGCAGGTGACTTGAAAGCACATAACAACAACATCAACAACAGGGAACATTCTATTTTTGCCATTTTCCCAGTCTGATCAAAAATTTGTAAATCATCTCTAGGTTACAGATTAAAGTAAACACCAATATAAAATTATTCAGAATTACATTTGTCAATCAGGCAGCTTCTCCATGTGAAACTCATACTTGGCTTCGACTTCATCTAAATGGATAGAAAATGGTACTTGTTGCTTTTGAAAAGTGTTCATCTTAAACCACAGTCCCCTCCATGTGTATGACAATGGACATACTCCTCCATTCTGCCAGAGGTTTTCTGACTCCCTCAGATTAACCTCAACTCAAAAGGAAAAAAAAATGAGCAGTTAGTTAGAAGAATTCCCATAGGATTGGAATGTAAAGCTTGTATAATCCAGCTGTCACCCTTGTACCCATCAGCCCTACTCCTAAACTCCCACAGAGCCTTTTTCCTATAGCATCAAGGTGGCAAGATTCTTTAAATGGACAGGGGAATATCACCTTCCTTCCTTGAAAAAAAATTAATATTGTCTTTCTGGATCACTTTTCTTCCGTCTTTTCAGGCTATGCCCACTGGGATTGTATGAGAAGAGATTGCTCATCTTTCTCTCACTGGGCTGCTGGTGCATTTGAACTTCCAGAAAGACATGACCTTTCAGTGTAGCAGTGCAACTCCCTATAGATTATATCACTAGTTGTTGTTGTTGTTGTGTGACACTGAGTAGGGGGAAAAAACTCATAGTTAACCCTCCAGTGGGTTTTCAGAGGCTGTAAATCACATGTGGGAAGAGGGAATTTGCCCATCTTTCTCGTATGAAGCAACAGGTGGCCTCAC